GGGTTGGGTTGAGTTGGTGGGTGGTGGTGGGGTTGGGGTTGGAGTTGGTGGGTGGGGTTGGTTGGTTGGGTTGGTGGGTGAGTTGGTGGAGGGTTGGGGTTGGGGTTGGTGGTGAGGTTGGTGGGGTGGGGTTGGGTAGTTGGGGTGGGTTGGAGTTGGTGGTTGGGGTTGAGTTGGAGTTGGGGTTGGGGTTGGGGTGGGTTGGGGTTGGGGTTGGGTTGGGGTTGGGGTGGGGTTGGGGGGGGTTGGGGTTGGTGGTGGGGTGGGGTGGGAGTGGTGGTGGGGTGGGGAGTGGGGTGGGATGGGTGGTTGGGGTGTGGGGTGGGATGGTGGTGGGGTTGGTGTGGGGTTGGGTTGGGTTGGGTTGGTTGGGGTTGGGTTGGGGTTGGGTTGGGGTTAGGTTGGGTGGGGTTGGGGTTGGGGTTGGGTTGGGTTGGGGTGGGTGGGGTTGGGGTGGTGGTGGGGTTGGTGGTTGGGGAGGGTTGGGGTTGGGGTTGGGGTTGGGGTGGGGTTGGGGTTGGGTTGGTTGGGGTTGGGGATGGGGTTGGGGATGGGGTTGGGTTGGTTGGGTTGGGGTTGGGGTTGGGATGGGGTTGGGGTGTGGGGTTGGGTGGGGTGGTTGGGGTGGGGTTGGTGGTGGGGTGGGGTTGGGGTTGGGGTTGGGGGTTGGGGGTGAGGGTGGGGTGGGGTGTGGTGGGGTTGGGATTGGGGTGGGGTGGGGTGTGGTGGGGTGGGGTGGTGGGGGTGGGATGGGGTGGGGTGGGGTGGGGTGTGGGGAGTGGGGTGGGGTGGGGAGGAACGGGAGGGATGTGGATAGAGGGAAGGGAGGGTGAAGGGAGGAAATGAGGAGGAAGAACAGCCAGTGGGGAAGGAAAACATAGAAGGAAGAAGGAGGAGGGGAAGATTCTAGGTGGAGAGGAGAGACATGAAGGAGGATGAGGAAGGATGAAGGTCTAGTGAAGGAAGGTTGTGAGAAGTAGGAGGGAGGGAAGAAGGGAGAGAGTTAACAAGGGAGAGGGTGAGAGGGTCAGGGAAAGAGGAAGGAAGGAACGAGAGACCCACGTACACACCAAACCAAATAACACAATGGGAAGCTTAGGTTAGGTTAGGTTAGGTAGGTTAGGTTAGGTTAGGTTAGGTTAGGTTAGGTTAGGTGGTGTAAGTGTGGTATAGGTGTAGTGTGTGTATATTTGTCGAGCTATCCAACACACACACACACACACACACACACACACACCACCACACACACACACACACACACACACACACACACACACACACACACACACAAGGCCACAGGTGAAGGGAAACACAGCCAATACTTTAAAGTTTAAACAATGGCGAAAGTCTTGTCACGTTCACATCAGCTGGTGGTAGTGATGGTATGTTAAGTGGTGGTATGTTAAGTGGTGGTATGTTAAGTGGTGGTATGTTAAGTGGTGGTATGTTAAGTGATGGTGTATGTTAAGGTGGTGGTATGTTAAGTGAGTGGTATGTTAAGTGGTGGTATGTTAATGGTGGTATGTTAAGTGGTGGTATGTTAAGGTGGTGGTATGTTAAGTGGTGGTATGTTAAGTGGTGGTATGTTAGGTGGTATGTTGGTGGTGGTATGTTAAGTGGTGGTATGTTAAGTTGGTTGTTTGGTGTTGGGTGTGTTGGGTGGTGGTATGTTGAGGTGGTGATATGTTAAGTGGTGGTATGTTAAGTGGTGGTATGTTAAGTGGTGGTATGTTAAGTGGTGGCATGTTAAGTGGTGGTATGTTAAGTGGTGGTGTGTTAATGTTATGTTAGTGGTGTATGTTGTGGTGGTATGTTGAAATTGGTGGTATGTTAGGTGGTGGTATGTTAAGGTGGCTGTTAGTGGTGGTATGTTATTGGTGGTATGTTAAGTTGATGGTATGTTAAGTGGTGGTATGTTAGTGGTGGTATGTTAAGATGTTGTATAGAATTGGTGGTATGTTAAGTGGTGGTATGTTAAGTGGTGGTATGTTAAGTGGTGGTATGTTAAGTGGTGGTATGTTAAGTGATGGTATGTTAAGGTGATGTATGTTAAGTGATGGTATGTTAAGTGGTGGTTATGTTAAATGGTGGTATGTTAGGTGGTGGTATGTTAAGTGTGGTGTGTTAAGTGGTGGTATGTTAAGTGGTGGTATGTTAAGTGGTGGTATGTTAAGTGGTGGTATGTTAGGGTGATGGTATGTTAAGTGGTGGTATGTTGGGTGATGGTATGTTAGTGTGGTGGTATGTTAATTGGTGGTATGTTAAGTGGTGGTATGTTAAGTGGTGGTATGTTAGATGTATGTTAAGTGGTGGTATGTTAAGTTGTGGTATGTTAAGATGGTGGTATGTTAAGTGGTGGTATGCTAGTGGGTATGTTATGATGGTATGTTAAATTGGTGGTATATGTTAGAGTGATGGTATGTTAAGTGTGGTATGTTAAGTGGTGGTATGTTAAGTGGTGGTATGTTAAGTGGTGGTATGTTAAGTGGTGGTATGTTAAGTGATGGTATGTTAAGTGGTGGTATGTTAAGTGGTGGTATGTTTATTGGTGGTATGTTAGGTGGTGGTATGTTAAGTGGTGGTATGTTAAGGTGGTGTTTTAAGTGATGGTATGTTAAATTGGTGTGGTATGTTAAGTGGGTGGTATGTTAAGTGGTGGTATGTTAAGTGGTGGTATGTTAAGAGTTGGTATGTTAAATTGGTGGTATGTTAAGTGATGGTATGTTAAGTGGTGATTTATGTTAAGTGGTGGTATGTTAAGTGGTGGTATGTTAAATTGGTGGTATGTTAAGAGGTGGTATGTTAAGTGGTGGTATGTTAAGTGATGGTATGTTAAGTGGTGGTATGTTAAGTGGTGGTATGTTAAGTGGTGGTATGTTAAGTGGTGGTATGTTAAGTGGTGGTATGTTAAGTGGTGGTATGTTAAGTGGTGGTATGTTAAGTGGTGGTATGTTAAGTGGTGGTATGTTAAGTGGTGGTATGTTAAGTGGTGGTATGTTAAGTGGTGGTATGTTAAGTGGTGGTATGTTAAGTGGTGGTATGTTAAGTGATGGTATGTTAAGTGGTATGTTAAGTAGTGGATGTAAATGTATGTTAAGTGGTGGCATGTTAAGTGGTGGTATGTTAAGTGGTGGTATGTTAAGTGGTGGTATGTTAAGTGGTGGCATGTTAAGTGGTGGTATGTTAAGTGATGGAAGGTTAAGTGGTGGCAGGTTAAGTGGTAGGGGGAAATATAAGTGGTCAGCTCTGCCATTGTGCTAGAGAGGATTATTAATTATTTACAAACTATTATTTAAGATATGAATAATTTAATTGTTTCATGTTCTAAAACGGATTATCTCTAACAATGATGATGTATGTATGTATGTGTGTATGTATGTGTGTGTGTGTGTGTGTGTGTGTGTGTGTGTGTGTGTGTGTGTGTGTGTGTGTGTGTGTGTGTGTGTACAGTAAAAAATATGTATTGTCGTGTAAACAAAGGGTGAATGGACCATGTTTCTATTTAATATTCACAGAGGATTTCCATTCTAAATTAGTGGAGTTTAATATCACGGTGTGTCAACTCTCCCCACGGTGTGTCAACTCTCCCCATGGTGTTTGGTGTTTACCCCATGGTGTTCAACTCTCCCCATGGTGTGTCAACTCTCCCCACGGTGTGTCAACTCTCCCATGGTGTGTCAACTCTCCATGACTCTCCCCCATGGTGTCAACTCTCCCCACGGTGTGTCAACTCTCCCCATGGTGTGTCAACTCTCCCTTATGGTGTGTCAACTCTCCCCCATGGTGTGTCAACTCTCCCCCATGGTGTGTCAACTCTCCCCCACGGTGTGTCAACTCTCCCCCATGGTGTGTCAACTCTCCCCCATGGTGTGTCAACTCTACCCCATGGTGTGTCAACTCTACCCCATGGTGTGTCATATCCCACAGTGTGTCAATTCTCATTTTTTTTAGTTGACCTGAGTAAAGGTCGCGATAATCAACCTTTTCCCTGGGGTTGACCTGACCACCTGTGATGACCCCCTCCCACAACACCCACAGTAACAGCCATACACTAACCTAACCTAACCTTCGATAACACAAGTGCAGGTACCTTAGCACGGCCGGGCACTGTACACGAACACCTTCCCTTCCCACGCTGTAAAGTTAGGTACCTATTTTACAGCTGGGTGGATTGAGAGTGTCTAGTGATCGAACCAGGGAACCTTAGGCCGGGTGGTGAGTGTTGTAATAATTTCTTTATCGTAAATGTATTGCATTTTTCACTTGGTCTTACATACAGACATCAATAGCAGGTTAGATAAAATACAATCATTATACAATACTCATACAATATATACACGAAATACAACACACATTAAGTAACATACACATGCAAGACAACATATACTAGGTAATATATACACAAAATACAAAATATATGAAATGATATACAGTACACAACAAAATATCACACACACGTGCAATAATACATACAGAAAAAAGCATATAAAATACAGTACGGACAAATACAATCGTCGGAAAACTGAATCTCTCTCTCTCTCGACCTCCCTGCCTCTCTCTCACACACACACACACACACACACACACTCTCTCTCTCTCTCTCTCTCTCATTCTCCTGGACATCTCAGTTGCCTTAGGAAATATTCATGGAATCTCGCCTCGCTTTAGTGAGGTGGGTGGGGGATGGAACAGAGGACCTCAGGTTTATAGTGATCCGTCACGTCTCCACTCACCCACCTCAATCTCCGGGTATCAGAGCTTACATAGACCAAGGGGTTTAAACTGGTTATAGAAAAGTAGGAAAATGCATTAGTAAAGTCTTCATGGTGTGTGTGTGTGTGTGTGTGTGTGTGTGTGTGTGTGTGTGTGTGTGTGTGTGTGTGTGTGTGTGCGCGCGCGCTACGGTGTTCATATTATCCTTGAATATTCACTTAAGATTGATTATTTATCTCCGCTATTATAAGTATCTCACAAATGTCTCTTTATCTTACCTCTCTCAGGAGATGAGGAGACGGCGGCCATGCAGCACCTGAGCGGGTCGTTGAGCCTCGCCCCGTCAGCTGGTGCCAATGTTTTGTTGATGGTGGCAGCCGTGACGTCATGGACCTGGAGGAGGATGACGTCATGAGATAATAACAGTTGCCGTGTATACAATTTGTCATCCTTTTAAAAGTGGGGAAGGGAAGGGCAGTAGGTCTAGTACTTTGAACAAGAACTGTATTTTATTATCTTGGTGTAATTAGACAATAATAAATAAATATATATATGTATATAAGGTCATATTTAGCGGGAAAAAAGTAGATTTAGATGCCATGATTTAAATACGTAATAATTAACTAGTTAGCAACCCTTCTCCCATTATGGTTGGTCCTGCACAACCAATCACCGTCAATGTTTACTTTGGCCACAAGTGTTGCTTCACCAATCACCTCTGAGGTAAAAATAACTGGGTAAAGGGACGGTTCATTATTCTTGTTCCGCTCAATCACGGCATCGGCGCCATCTTGGGGTCATAGAGGACGAAGAACCGTGTTTATTATTAATGAATGTATACAACACTAGCCATCCTAATCTGACCTGACCTAACCTGGCATAACTCAAACTAACCTGACTTAACCTGACATAACTTAAACTAAGCTGACTTAACCTAACATAACCTGACCTGACCTACCCTAACCTAACCTGTCATAACTTAAGCTAACCTGACCTGACCTAACATAAGCTGACTTAACCTAACATAACCTGACCTGACCTACCCTAACCTAACCTGACATAACTTAAGCTAACCTGACCTGACCTAACATAACCTGACCTGACCTGACCTACCCTAACCTGACCTACCCTAACCTGACCTGACTTGACCTAACCTAACATAACCCAAACTCTCGCTGAAGAAATATTCCATAATCGCGCATATTCCAACCATTATTCTTTTTATTGTAGAAGAGAACAAAAGAAAGACAGAGAGAGAGAGAGAGAGAGAGAGAGAGAGAGAGAGAGAGAGAGAGAGAGAGAGAGAGAGAGAGAGAGAGAGCGAGCGAGAGCGAGAGAGAGAGGAGAGAGAGAGAGAGAGAGGAGAGAGAGAGAGAGAGCGAGAGCGAGAGCGAGAGAGAGAGAGAGAGAGAGAGAGAGAGAGAGAGAGAGAGAATGAGAGAAATAAAGAAAAAATTAAAACTATCCCAAGAGAGAGACTGACCAAAGATGAATTATCTCTCATGTAACAGAAAATAAACAACAACAATAATAATAATAACAATAACAATAATAATAACAATAATACTAATAATAATAATAATAATAACAATAATACTAATAATAACAATAATAATAATAACAACAATACTAATAATAACAATAATATTAATAACAATAATAATAATAATAACAATAACACCAATAACAATAATAACAGGTGTTTTTATCCAGGTGAGGAAAACAAAGGATAAGCGAGTCTGTTTTTACTGCGTTATATTTCTCGTTTTAATCCAAGCAACACTATTGTGGTGTGATAACGAGAGAGAGAGAGAGAGAGAGAGAGAGAGAGAGAGAGAGAGAGAGAGAGAGAGAGAGAGAGAGTGTGTGTGTACAGTATTTTCCACCACTTCACAAACATCAATAACAATTATACGCTTTCTTCACTAACGATACCGCAACGTAACCAACCTGGGGAAAATTGTTACCATTGTTTCACCAGCACCTAATAATAGTGAATGTGATGAGCGGTGATTACGTAAGACATTTGTAATAGTGATTGGTGAGTGTGTAGTAGGCCCCAGATCTAATGGGCCCCAGATCTAAGATCTAATGGGCCCCAGATCTAATAGACCCCAGTTCTGATAGGTCCCAGATTTAATGGGTCCCAGATCTAATGGGCCCCAGATCTAATGGGCCCCAGATCTAATAGACCCCAGTTCTAATAGGTCCCAGATCTAAAATGTCCCAGATTTAATGGGTCCCAGATCTAATGGGCCCCAGATCTAATAGACCCCAGTTCTGATAGGTCCCAGATTTAATGGGTCCCAGATCTAATGGGCCCCAGATCTAATAGACCCCAGATCTAATAGACCCCAGTTCTGATAGGTCCCAGATTTAATGGGTCCCAGATCTAATGGGCCCCAGATCTAATAGACCCCAGTTCTGATAGGTCCCAGATTTAATGGGTCCCAGATCTAATGGGCCCCAGATCTAATAGACCCCAGATCTGATAGGCCCCAGTTCTGTAGGCCCCAGTTCTAATAGCCCCCTACCGTAATAAACTCAGAGGTATAGGGTGAAATTGGAAACCATCCAGTTTGGGATCCAACTAAATCTGTCAATATTTAATATTATTGTTCGATATTTTTATGTATCGTCGTCTTTTATTGTCGTTCTTACTCATGTTATTATTTGTTATGTCTATTATTACTATTCGCGTCGTCATTTTGGTTCCCACTCTTCTTATTATCTCATATTGCCGTTATTACTATTCTAATTGTTTGTTATTTATTAATACAAAGCAACAGGAAATACCCTTCAATAACAACAAAGAGTGTGAGAACCATTTAAACCGAACAACACATTAAGAGTCAGTCACATAGGCTTGGCTTTCCATTAGGGGCAGCGCGGATGTAGCAGACTGTATACTAAACCTTTCGGTACACAAGCAGGCAGCGTGGGAGGCACTACACTCAAACATTTTAATTTCCCTCAACTGTAAAGTCAGATACCCATTCATAATACCTTAGACGTGAACCAGTGCCTGTTAGGTGAGGAGGTGAATGCAGTATCCACTCAGCCACTGTATCACATAAGAAATTGACACTATAAACAAGTCAATTAGGTCTCTTGTACATAGCGCTGTAAAGTTAAGGTCACAATAACCTTTTGACGCACATATAGCACTATCTGACGCATGTTTGTGAGTCATAAATGTCACTGGTTTATGAATTACCCCCAGAAAAAACCCACAATATAAGAACAAATATAAACCCAGACACTAAAATCCCCCTTTTGCTTAAATTACCCCCAAGTAGATAATATTGTGTAATGTGTCCAGGGAATTGTGTCCGCAACTGTACGTTCTTTTTTATATGTAATAGCATTATGCATGTTAACTACTGCCTGGATGTGTTAAATTGTTTTGGTAATAAAAGTGTGACTAAACAGAATATATCGTGTTTAATTAACGAGGCTTTAAATTAATGAGTTGTGAGATAAATGGAGTTACGTGAGTGAGAGAGAGAGAGAGAGAGAGAGAGATCAGTTTTAGACGCAAAAAATATTTATTCAATCAGCTGGAGGAAGGGAAGCAGAAGAAAGAAAAAGAGGAGGAGGAGGAGGAAGGCAAAGATTAGGAAGAGGAAAGGAAGAGCAGGAAAAGGAAAAAGAAAGGAAGAAGGAAGAGAAGCTAAAGGAAAAGGAAGATGAAGAAGATTGGCAACAGCAAAAGGAAATCCCTCAAGAGACTTAATACCAAAGAGATCTATTCAGTTTCCAGATGCCATTTGATGGATAGATCCTGGTGGTCAGAGCGTCCCCCATATGGTCAATAAGGTACATGACCCCGAGGTGCAATTCTGTTGGGTTATAAGATGGCTACACCTATGGTACTCTGAGCTATGTCGATAATAATGCTGGTTTTTGCTGTTAGACATATTATTATTACTATATGCTGTTAGATACGTTATCATTATATTTTATGTTATAGAGATACATCACAATCACATCAGAAAGACATATAATTTACGAAACAAAAAAAGTATCTGAACCCCCATAAAAAATTAGGAATAGCCATTAACATTCCTTCAATAAACTCGAGACAGAAGATGACACTAACGACAATAATAATAATAATAAAAAAAGCCCCCAGACTGTAATTGGAAAGGATCGTAAAAGTTGACCAAAAACAAAATATTCTCCCCGGGACGATAAAATATTTCAGGGTCATATTAAAGGTGGCAAACTTGACCACAAACTCATAACGGGGAATAAGTTTCATATTTAGTGGCGGTAAGAGACTACTTCCAGGGCGTCTTTCATTATTTCTCCCTTCCCCCAAAAAACCTATATTGGTGAAGATATTTTACTTTATGGCTGCATTAATGTGTAGTGTTTTTGTGGATGTTGTTGTAATACATTTATGGTTTAAGATACATTTGATATAAGGAGTTTAGCTATGAAGTCACTTTTTGTTTACATTCTGATGTGTTAGGCAGACTTAACTTATACTAATCTAACCTAACTTAACCTAAACTAACCCAATCTAAGCATAACCTACCCTACCCTCCCATACCCTACCCTAACCTATATCCTCCCCTAACCTACCCTATTCCCCCTAGGTAGCATTAGGGTATTCAATCATCAGGTGAAATAAGCTACGGGGGAGGGGCTGATCTTCAGGTGAGCTATTAAACAACTGCCTGACCTCCTAATCAGCAGCACACCCTAGACTCTCTTGCTCACAGGTAACAATAACGTAACAGAAAATTGTGAAATGGACGACACTGGGTGGACAATATTTCAGTCTCTCTTTGTAAGGTTTTTTTGTACTTGGAAAAACCAGAGCAATATCGTTTGTCGAGTGTATATGCAACATGCTCTAGTGTTGGCAGGCTCAACTGTTCAACCAACCACACACACACACACACACACACACACACAGTCTTCGTACAAGTTCACATTAAGATAGATAGATAAAGGAGGAAGAGAGAAGGGGAGAGAGAAAAGGGTAATTCACTACATATCCAACATTTTGCCATTTTCGTAAACACGGTTCAAATAACATCACCAAACAATATCATCGAATTGTAAATAAAGATGAAAAAAGGCAGATACACCACGCAACAAAAGTGACTGACAATCAGACAGGCAGATACAGACAGACAGACAGACAGACACACACAACACACACACACACAAAAGAAATACATCGTAGGCAACTCGTTTCTACTAGCCTCTGATTGGCGCATTTATCTCCCTGTCGCTGTGTAATTCCCCCTTCCTGATTGGTCACAGTGTCGACCAATGAACATCGAAGTGGAACACCCCCAACCCGTGATCATGATAAATAGGAGCTTTAAAGGGTGAGGAGACCAGTTACTGTTGAGTTTTATGAGGAGGCGGACGATTACAACTTCTCCAAGAATTGAATTTAAGCATTGAGGGTTCCTGAGCCCCACAAATGCCCTGAAGGAATGTGGGATTTTAGGTGAAAATTAACCTCACTTACTTACCCATCCTCACTAACCCTCACCTTCCCTTACTTTCACCCTCCCACCCCCACCCTCACCCCCTACACCCACACCCACCCACACCCCCCTCCCCACACCCTCACCATATGCTACATAGGAAACATCATCATAAATGTAATGTATAATATATATATGAGTCTCACACAATTTGCATATTGATGGCGTAAGGAACTCGACCCTCTTGTTACCCAGTTATACATATATACATAATATTCATATACATATACATACACCAAGGATGGTCTTAGGAATATGCCAACTTCTATCCGATTTAATCAATACCTACAGCCGAGTTAGTTAACATCAAGCTACAACCCGATTTACGATAGTTAACACTGCTTTCTCTCACTTTCTTTTTCCCTCACTCTCTATTTCCTCTCTTTCCATTCCTTTTTTTTCTCTCGTGC